CGTTTGTTAGAGCTATTGTCTTGAAGAGGGAGAGAGAGAGTAATCGCTCGCTTGTCTCAGTCCGGTCGTTGCAGCCTCCGGCAGGGCGCGCGGCGCTTGCGAAGAACACGTGAAGCCGAACCCTACGGCCACCCAGGCCGCCATCAGACGTGCCGACGAGATTCTCTGTTTACACGATACCGTAATTTTATACCGTCGTCGTCGATCGCAGGCACCGCCACGCACCGCCTTACGAACCCTCTCCCCATGTCTTTTTAGCGCGCATCCGATACACGCGTGTTACCGCGGCGCGGCGACTTTGTTCGACCATTCACAAATGCACCTGTTGACGGTTTCGTCTTACCGTTGAAAATTCCTTCGGAATTTCCTACCATTCTCGCGAATTGCTTCGTACCTCCCCTGCAATTTATTGATCTTTTTCTTGCACAATGTAAACAATATACTGCAATACAAAGTTGTAATAGAAACTAATCACTTTTGGATATCATTTTAGCAAATCATTACGAGCAAATAGTGAATTCGATCGCTTCTTTCCGTTTGGAAGATTACTTTTATCTAATTTGCATTCAGTATAGGAAATACGACAGGAGGTATATATCTTGTAATCGCTCTCGTAAACAGCCGAGGTAATTAAACGGAGCGCCCTGCTATATACGTATATAAACGCGCGGAAGCCACCCTGACCGTAATCTCTGATTCCGGTCTGCGGTTTTCCTATGGGCACACGTGCAACCGACACGAGCTTTTCTGGGGTGGTCCCGGTTTTGTGAGGCGCTTTTATCTTAAATAAAGCATCCGCACGACTAACCCTCGCGATAAAGTTATCCGATTGTCTATCAATCGGTCGACTACAGCCGCTCGTCGATACAAGTACAATATATACTTTTTGTTTCGTTACAGCATAAACGTAATTGACGAATAGATAAAGAACGGAGTGGATATTTCTTATAGTGTCAGAGTGTTTAAGTATTCTGCGTACAAATATTGAATTGCCATGCACCCGAGATACATCTTCCCACTTTCCTCTGGTTTTTATGGCGGAAGCCAATTACTTTCCCTTGGAGAGGCACTTGAGGCTGTCGCAGAAAATGTCACGGGAGGGCTCGAACGTATAGTAAAACGGTAAACAACGTGGCGATGCCACGAGGGTTGCTCTTCGGTTTGAAGGAGGAAGAGAGGAGAGATCATCACGCGAGGGCCAAAACACTTGACTTTCAACCCTTAAGACACGAGGCCCATTACTGACGTACGCAGTTTCTATTATACTATCGAATGTTCGCATTTAATAAATACTGCAAGTATAATATAATACAATGCGTAGTGTTATCTCTCGCCTTTCCAAAAGTGTCTCTTCAAGGAATCCTTTTTATATGTAAAAAATAATTTTTTCCAAGAGTCCTTTTTACATGAAAAAGAAAATCTGTTAGTGTTAGTAGTAATATTCAGTTCTGGGGATTTGTATTGTTTTGCAAAACACAATCTTTCGGAACAATCACATAAAATTCGAATTTAATTTAGAACGATAGAGAGCGTTTTATTTTTATAAAGAATAGTAAAAGAGGTATGTATTTATTGCCGTAATTAAAGCAAACGAGACAAGAAAGCGAGGATAGACGATACAGATAGCAAGGAGAAGAACCCGACGCTCGTTGCAGAGAGGAAGTACGAAGACAGAGACAAGATGGCCACGCTGCTGCTCTTTCGTCGGCTCGTTTGCTTTAGGCAAACAAACTCTTCTTAAGAATTCGTGGTCTACAGTATTCACCGTGTGGTCTAACAATCTCGGCCACCATGTCTCTAGTGTATCTAATTTAATTTACACTATTGATTAAGTATATCTCTTATTATTATAGACCTTGTTGAGCAATATAAAAATAAAAGAAATGCACAATTTTCTTAAAAAATCAAATGTCGATTATTGCTGCTATATCAAGCATGAAAATTGCCGAGCTTTGTCACAAAAACATTTAAGCAAGTGTCTAAAGATTGATCTTACATATCGATTGTATATACTACGTCAATTATCATAATATTCTGTATAGTTAATTTATCTGGATATATTTCTTAATTTTATAGCATCTCTTCTCTTTTAGCGGATGCACTTTTTTCGATGAGGATCGCGGTGAACTCTCGTATTTTATGAGTAAAATCTCCCTTTTACGACCTTTCGAAAGTGCCATCCCTTCGAGACTAGTTTCTTAAGGATCGCAATAAAGTGAAGCATGTGGAATAGGGCGCCGTGATAAGGCATGAATTCTCTTTCTGTCGTTGTTGGTCATTCGACACTCGGTCACGCGTGAAGGCGAATAAACATATCGTCTCGATCGACCGACATTCACACTTCGATCACTGCTTGACGATCTCTTTGGTATCGAGTGACGATTGACTGCTATACGAACACGTTGCGTTCGTTCGAAAACGTATGAGGATTTACACGCGCAGCGCACAAGAAATGTATCAGAAAATTATTTCTAGCCTTCACTATCAGTTATAATTATATCGCAATTAAGTCAGCAAGGCAAAATATATAGGATATGTATTATAATAATTCTTTAACCCTTAGCAGGAACTCGGGGTGTCAAACACCCCAAAACGATTCTTGTCAAGTTTAAGCATCTTTCTCACATACGATCTTCAAAATAAATACTTTTTTTGAAACATTCTCCTAATTTTTTCTTTACAGTACTACATCTGGAGAGTATCGCGTTAAAATTTTATGAAAAAATATTCATTTTTGACTGTGATATGAAAAATTTTTTAATAAAACGAGCCATTTTTCACATCACATTTTTTTCAAGAATTTGGTTGATGACTGAAAAACTAAAAATTTCATTCTTCACGATAATAGGTATTATTTTCTAATGTTTAATGAATGTACTAATTTTTTTACAAGCACATTGGTGCTTCTATTTTGCCGTAATAAACGTCTAAAGTGTGTTGGGGTGTTCACCACCCCGTGTGCAGGTTACGTTCCATTGCCGATGTGTGCCTGCTAAGGGTTAATCGATACTTTGAAAGGAAAAGAATATGTTTATTGGATGTCTGAATGAACACGTATATATTTGAAAATATGTATTATAAATATTCTTTGTGTGTACTAATTTATTAATATATGTTTCAAAATGAAGCAATATTTCCAAATCCTTTCAATTATCGTGGAAAAGAAGCGCGCTTATATAAAACAATCCAGATAGACGATAGACATTCGATTAATTATTTCTTCCTAAATAAAACATTGGAAATATTATTTGAAGGAATTTTAATTGAGAGACAATCCTTTTTGTCGAGTTTAATCATTTCGTTTTATAGCAATACATACGTTGGTTCCAAATTTGATGAAAATTGGTACAGATTTTCGCTCGAGGAAAAAATTGCTGTTTCACGACTCTGTTGTAAGTATATAGCATAAGGCGGTTCTATACGAGCGGGCGGAGCAAATCTCGCAGCATCTCGTTGGTTAAGAAGTGGACCAATAGCTTCTCTTCGTCTTCGCGTCATATGCATTCACGGCACTGTGCATCACGCGGTTCCGAAGACGGATACATTACTCATCGTAAGTATACAGATAGCGATATCCGACGAAGCAATACTCACTCGTAATTTTCAAGCAAACTAAGTACGAATCGCTCATGTAAAAGATATTGGCGTGAGCGTTAACATCGTAGTGGGAATTTTGCATCAATAAACTGACATCGAGTGTAGTGTACTCAAATACATTCGCGATGTCTTGAAAACAATGTATAATCATATGAAAATTTCAATTAATCTAAAGCTAAGTTTTTCTGGATGGAAACATTAACAGTTTTCTACTACTCGATCTTTTATAACAATTGGATATTTTGATAAAATATAAATAAGTAAACAAAATCTCAATGTAAATTTGATGTCCAGATACAATTTTTAATTTGAAAATTATAAAGCTATTTAATATTTATATATAAGCGACTTTGATGAATGCCATTTGATTCAGTATCGTTCACTAAAACAATAGCATATCTCGGTCGTCTCTTATTTAACGCAACTATCACGATATACTTAAAGCCGCATGTAGATTGACATAAAAAAATCGGTTTTTACAATATATTTTTCATATGTTTTCTAAATTTGTGATATTTATATATCGATCTCTTTCACGAGTGTCTCATTTTGATAAACATACTTAACTTTGGAATTATCATTAATAAAAAGCTAAAAGAATATTAATGTTTCTAATAAATTTCGAGACATCCTTTAGACGACTCTCTTTAATCAATGAATATTCATTTCTTGGATATACATTTTTCACGCCGTTTTAGCGAGCGAATATCAAATTCCACCCACACTCACATCTCAAATTTTTTGGCAGAATAAAAAATAGCTGTAACATTTTGATAATAATTATTGTAACAGACCATAATGAGAGTCGTACGATGTCACGCACGTAGATGAATCGAAATAACGCCATTACGCAATTCACTTCCCCGCATAATTCCATGACGAAGAAGAAGACGAAGGCGGTTCGGGGCGCCATTGGGCGTAACATTCGACTTTTTGTATGGAACATCAGCACATGACCAATCCGAGTTCCGGATGCCCGACTTGCCATCCTCACCGCCCATGTGGGGGACGCCGCGATCAACGTCATCCGTGGTCCAGATTCCGCTCCCGTGCCATGCGAGGCGAGCAGCAGTCATCCGAAAACACTTAGCGGCGCATCATAGCGACTCGACGTAAGCCCGTTACGTGCCGACACGAAGCGAGTCTAAATAATTGACCCCTCCGCGGCGGAATCGCGCAAACAATTTACATCCGACCGTGTAAATATCCGCGACCTCGGCGTCGCGCTTACTAGGAGGCGGCGGCGGGGGCCGTTGCTCCTCGACGATGGAATCCTCGAACGAGTCGGCTCGATGTTGATTTTTTAACCAAATATATGTTTTTTTTTTCTTTTTTTTTTCTTTTATACAATCCTTCGTTGCTGTTGCTTCGTGCGTTCAAAGATTGTGTGGTCAAACTCCAAGTGGATCCAGTGGAAATCCCGAGGGTGATACATTCGCGTGTAGTATGTTCGCCACGCGCGGACTTTGACGGTCGAGAGCCCGATGGACCAGAGCGTGATCGTGCCTCGTAACTCTGGCGTCGTCGACAGCGTACGCTTGACCATGAAGAACGAGTCCGATGCCAGCAACCTGCACCAGCAACAAGAACAGACGGTGGCCGCGCGATCGACGGTATTGCCGATGAGTGCAGGTAGTCTGGCCCAGGAGACAAGCTTAGAGCCGCTGATGTGCAATCCGACGAGTAGCGAGATGCAGGCGAGGAAACCCGGCGCGCGACGCCAGGAGAAACCGCCGTATTCGTACATCGCGCTGATCGTGATGGCGATCCAGTCGAGTCCGGGCAAGAGACTGACCCTCTCGGAAATCTATTCATTTTTGCAGCAGCGTTTCCCTTTCTTCCGTGGCACTTATCAGGGCTGGAAGAACTCGGTGCGGCACAATCTCAGTCTGAACGAGTGCTTCATCAAGCTGCCCAAGGGTTTGGGACGGCCCGGCAAAGGTCACTACTGGACCATCGATCCGTCCACCGAGTACATGTTCGAGGAGGGCAGCTTTCGGCGGCGACCACGCGGCTTTCGGCGCAAGTGTCAGGCGATGAAGCCGCAGTATCCGCAATATTATTCGAGCGCCGCACCCGGAGTCGGGGTGCAGACGCCTGGTGGTCCCTATCTAGCCGGCGAGAATCTAGCCGGCGGACCTGGTGGCATCGAATACGCGAACGGCTACCAGAATCAGTACCAGAACTACCAGGAGTACGCCATGTACGCGCCGAGTGCGGCGGTGCCCGCCGATTGGGCATATCCGGAGGGGGGTACGGCGACGTACAAGTCTGCTGGGCCGCCGATAGCCGAGGTCACTTACAAGACCACCGAAGTCACGTATAAGACCGGCGGCGAGCCAACGCCGTCATCGGTCTACAGGAACGGTGAGTTAGTGACGTTCAAGAGCGAGCCTGGAGCTTTCGGAGCTGCTCGCCAGGATCAGCTGACGGCGTACAGGCCGCCGCCGCCGCCGCCGCCGCCGCCGACCGACGGATTCTCCTCGACGATGAAGGATCATCATCCGCAGCATCACTCGCACGACTACAAGGACGAGGCTACGATGATGGGCTACAAGTGTGCCAACTCGACACCTACCACTCAAGCGCCTGGACAAGATTATTACGTCGGTTATGGCCTCGCGGGGGTCAACAATGCTGCCGGACACGGTGTTAACATCACCATGCAATCTATGCAGGAGCAACCGGGGAACAGCAGCCCTGTGACCAATGTCAGTTCGCCACACAGTGGATGTCCCACTCCGGCCGCGGATCACGGTGTGTATATATTACTTATAATGTCGCGCGCGCGGTTCCTCTTCTCTTCAGAACTTCTCTTCTACTCTTAATCGCGTTATTTTTACACAATTTTTAGAACAACTTTCTTTATATAATAGAAACATTTCTAAAACTTTAATTTTAATGATCGGATGACTAAAATGTTAAATCTTATGTCAAGCAGTTTATTAAAAATAAAATATATAAAAATTAACAGAATTACAGTCTTTTAATTAATATATGTTTATTCAATTGTTTTCAGATTTATATAACTATTTACAAGTTTTACTTAAGTATTGATGTTATCCATAATTTTATATTTCAACGTTAATGTTTCATCTGAAGATTGTTAGTCGAAACTATAGTAATGTGTTGTAATGTAATGCAACAAATATCTGTCACTTATATTTTTAATGCTATATTTTAAGTTAGTTTTCAAGTACTGTTATAATAGATAAAATTTAGAATATATATGGTTTAATTTGTCGTATAGAAAATCTCTCTTATTTATCTGACTCTTACAATGCCATTTGTATGTTTATTATTTTGTTTAAAAAAAAATAGTTGTTTAGTTTGTTTTAATTTTAAAAAAATTAATACAGGACTCTTATATAGCAACTCAAAATATAATGAAATGGTAAAAAGCTAATAAGAGTTGAACATCCATAATTAAAATCAAATAAATTGAATCAACGCTAATGCGTATTAACAAATCCATATATAAATTAAAAATTGACATACAAATTGAAAAAGCGGTGGAAATAAAATATGATAAAATAACACATGTTCCGACCTTGTGAGTTTCGGCTCTCTTCAGATATATGTACAATATTTAAAAACGCAGTAAAACATTAGAACGGACTGAGACGGTTTTGTTAAAAATTGATAAAAATAAAAATAAATATACAATTAAATATACAAATAAAACTGAAGATAGAATGAGTGATTATTCAGAGAAACCTAGTTTATTAAAATTGTGTAACTTAACAATGTCAAATCTTATAGGACCGTGAGAATTTAAACCAGTGAAGAAAACCGCAATGAGAACAACGCCGGAACGGTCAAGCTGGATCTCTGATGCTTTTATATAATTGCATGTGAATTTATACATATACTACCGTCCAAGGGTGCGCACTTTTTCTTTGAGACTGTATAATCTATATAAGGATCTCAGTTCGGACAGTAAAATGATGCTTAGATTATTCTTTACATTTTAAACTAAAAGTTTATCAATGTAATACTATGACTCTTTTTTACAGGAGATTATAATTTTACTAAGAAAAAAAATGCAAACTCTCGAGCAAGTGTCTTTTCAAGAGTTCGCATTAGTTCGTAATGTTCACTTTTTGCTTTTAATATGACTATACATAAGAATTATTACAGATATTAAGTAAATATATACGAAGCAGAACATGCATGCACACAATACAAATAATACGGATTCACTAAGCAACGATTTAATGTAGAAATCGATCAATTCGTCCTTGAAAAATATAGAAAAAAAATGATCAAAATTACAAAATTTAAAATATCTCCTTTATCGCTGAAACGATCACCACACAGATCGGCAAACCGAAAAGGCACATTCTGTGTGAAATACAGTTCTTACGATCAAATAGTTTTGTTGTAAAGCTTAGTGCGAATTCTTGAGCGATGCGCACTTTTAGACGGGTCTTATCCTATGTATGATCTTTAATCGCGTGCCGAATTTTTCAGACTTGAAACGCAACTCTATTACCGCAATACAATTTAACAAATTTTTGCTCTTTGCGCATCTATAGATCGATCTTAATAATTTTGAATAACATATTAAAATCTGTAAATAATTAATTTTTTATTGCCGGGAGACTTGTACACTGTACTGATTATTGTGACGAATATTACTAAGCCTCGGTAGTTTAAAGGCTTAGGACGCTCGCACGGAATGCCAGAGAGATCCGAGTTCGACTCCCGGCCGAGGTAATATTTTTCTCGCAATGAAAAATTAATTATTTACAGATTTTAGTGTCATTCAACATTATTAAGATCGATCTAAAGATGCGGAAAGATTCATCAAAAATTTGTTAGTCAATTTAACTCGCGATATTACTGCGGTAGTTTATAGTAGAGTTGCGTCTATAGAGTTCAGATCGGCTCGCGATTAAAAATCTATACATACTATTAGTAGTATATAAATTTACACGTATATATAGAAGCACCCGAGATCCAGCTTGACCATTACAGCATGTTCTCGTCGGTTTTCATTTGTATACAACTTAAGTTAAATAATAGGTAACGTAATAAGTAATGATAAAAGTGTAATACGAAATAAGAATACGACAAAAGAAATTGCAAATAACGGAACATGGAATAGTTTAAAGTAATGCGAGAATGTACTTGAATTGAAAGCGAAATCTTTTGGAACGCTGTTGAAGAATTTTTCAAAAATATATACGAGCTTGATAAAATACAAAACCGCAAAACGTGACACGAACAAATGCAACGAAGCGAAATCATGCCTGTGATTTTTGAATTGTTTTTGCTTCGCGATGATAACGTTGATGGATCCGCGACATCATTTAGGGCGGGCCATCTGGAAAATTGGAGACAGTTTACGATCTTTCAGGCGCCGTGTCCTGTAAAGTAAAACGACGACACTACTCTTTCGAGCCTCCTATCCTTCCTTTTTAGCTATAGAATTTCATGAGTATATCTGGTCAAAGTTGTTCGTTAAATCGGTACGAAAGAGGTAAAACGTTTTATTAGGAAAGATAATTTTTATTAATTTTTATTTATAATTATGTGTGTGGGTCCATTCAGTTTGAAATCCATTATCCCTCCGCTTTGATGTAATTATGTCATACAATTTTTATTAAGAGCGTATTTAATATATTATTTCAATTCAATTCAATTTTTTAAATTATATATATGGTGCTGAATAAATCTGCAATGCATTAATACGTAATTATATATAGGTATGTATTTACAAACGGTACAAACGTGCACGTCATTAAGTATAGCAAATCCTACGCATTGCATTTACCTTTACATCATAATGTAATAAAAAAATATTATATATAAACACATGATAAAATGTATTTAAATAAATTGTACTATTAGTAAATAATTATAATATTATTGTATTTCTCGATAATTTTAATTGACCAACACGTGTCAATAATAACGTGTTAGAAAGATTAATATTACTGGAATATACACAGAATGGGTGGATACAGTGCACATCGTGTCGTCGTTGACAGAAACGATTAACCGAGGTGACGTCCCTGTCACGTCCATACGACGCTTCGAGCTCGTAACTTGTACCTTGTAACTTAACACGTGTAACCCGGCCGCGCCGCGCCGTAAGACTGGAAGCGTCGTTTCCTTTTCTCGCGAGATTAATTTAGCTATAATGTCTGCGTCCAACAGCGCGATAATAAAAATGCTCGTTAACACTACGTGTTAACGATAACTAAACACTTGACAGTTTTCTCTATGCGAGGCAAAGATATATATCTTATTGAACTGACGATGTCTTAATATTCGTAGCCTATATATATATATATACGCAACTATATTATAAATGCACATTCTTAGATTTAAATTGTTTTGTATTGATTATAATATTCTAGGAAGACAGTACAACATTTCTTTGGTAGACAAAGTCGATATGATAGAATATCAAAATAATGAGTATTGAAAAATGCTTTTTGCCTCTTCAGCGTAGTCGCGTGCTAGCAAGTGCGCGCTCGAATCGTTTATCGCCTAAATATTTATCGGAGGTATAAACGAGGTGACTTAATTCGGCCTTAACCCTACGGAGAATGAGGAGCATCGTAATATTTACGGCGTTAACTTACCAACAGCGTGTCGAGATCCGCACACAAATCATTCATTTAAACTCTCGTAAAAGTCTTCGACTTTCACTCGCTTGAAAAACTTGTCAACAATATAATTATTAGCTCTAATCTGACAATTTTGCACATTTTTTATTCCGGAATGAAATTAATTTTTTTCTTGACAAATCTGTATGCTTTTTAAAGTGATGAAAAATATAGTTTATTCTAAATTATTAACGTTTTAAATATCTGAAAAAATTTCAGACGTATTTAATTATATGCGTAATTTATTAATTTGACATCATAATGCTGCTAATTGGTTGAAGTAAAAGCAGCGAAAAATATTCCTCAGCATGCATGTTTCGTAGCTTCTACAAATAGCCCGATTTACGAAAATTGGTCTAATCTCGATTAAGGAGAGTAAGTCTCTCTCTCTCTCTTTCCTCTGTATCTCGATACAACGCGGATCGACAAGAGATAAACGCCGCCACCCACGCTTCCTCCACCGTAGACTTCTTCTTGTTCGTCTTCTTCTTATTCGTCTTCCGTCAGTCACAGTGAAGTGTAAACGAGATCGATCCACACAGACGCCACGTAGGCACATCTTTTTACTCTTCTTACACGCCGTGCTCTCCGTATATTTCTGGAGCGCGATCTCTTTGCTCCGAACTATAGCCTGTTGTGCCGATGGTATTCGGTTAGAAGCAACTTCTTGAAAGCCAGCATCCTCGCGCGGCCGCTGATGAGAAAAGAAAAAAGAACAACTAGAAGAAATGGCGCAAGCACGGTCGTGCCCGAGAGCATTTGGATCGGAGAGAGATTTTGACTGGCAGCTTCGGACCACCCACGTGGACGTCTTTTCGAGGAGGCGTCGTCGCAATGTCGAATCCAGAGAACTCGCCAATCTTCGAGGAGTGACATGACGTAATTTGGAAAAATGTCCTCGATACATTCAAATATTTTCAAGTCCTGCAAGAGAAAAGTTTTCAAAGAAGATCAAGCTATCCACCGTGATCCACTTGTGAAAAGCGAAAATTAATATATGGGGATGCAAAAAAGAAAGAAAAAAACAACAGATTAAAATTGAGACACGAGTGAAGTGGTCGCTCGAGAGGAAGCTACTTGAGAACTGGCGGAGCTTTAGATTTATGGATGCCTCTGTGCCTAAGTAGCAATTTCTGTATCGTGAGATCTTTCGTTTCTTTCCACCGTTACTCTTACATCGTGTGCATTCTTAAGTAGCAAAACTGAATGAAATCTTATCTGGATATGTAGAATGTTTGAAGATCGGGATCAAATATTTTCAGACTTCACACTTTATTTTATATTAAAACGCGACAGTCGTTAGAAAGTATAACTAACCGACTTTTCAAGAGAGTAATTTAAGTTAAAGCATGAATTTTTAAGCACAGTAGTTCAATTATTGTAATTTCACTGAAAAAGAAAATTAATTTTAGATGACTTTCAAGTATTTCGAGAAGGGTGTATGAAAGAGGGTGTATAAAAATAGCTTCGAAATAATTGATAATCTGATCTGTTTCAGGAATAAAAATGCAGTGCACCAATTCCAACTCTAGTTCGAACAGTTCTGGCGGCGGCATCATTGATCGGAAACCATCCTATTTCGCGCATCCGGGAAGCTCAGTGACATTGAGTTCTCTAGGTTCACTAGGTTCGTTAAATCTGAGTAACATCGGTGGTCTGAGCATATCCAACATACCTGGCACAGTTTCTACGAACATTCATCACGCGTCGACATCTCCACCCACGACAATGTACTACGATCAGATCAAGTACAGTATGTGAAGGTATTTTTTTCCCAAAAAACGAGACAAGTCATTAAATCCGTAAAATCATTATTGATCACCATTGCGTGAAGTTTATTTTGTTCGCTAAAATTGGCTGAAGATGTCCCTAAATAAGATCGAAACGTCTGAAGAATTTGTAATGTAATAGAATTTATATTTACAATATACATTTTTAAAAAATTATACTGTACACTCCGCTATTACTCTCATTTGCTATATTATTTCTATCATTATTATCGAGGGCCCTCCAATTTATTCGTAAAATTATTTCTATTGAAAGTTTCGTATCTCAAATTTTAAAACGCTTCGCACTTTTCAGAGTGAATATAACTAATCTTATAAAATATATAAATTCTCTCACAATATGTTGAAACGATCATATTGTTTGAAAAAAAAAACATACGCAGAATTACAAGTTAAATTTAATAAAACCTGCCAGGTTTTATTAAATAACAGCGAATGAAATCAATGAGCTATAAATCTTACAACTACCGAATACTTGTTACATTTTTACACATATTTTCGAATTAACAGGACGTAATCTCGATAAAAATTAATACTTCATTAAGTTTATTAACATTTATTTGCTTTACTTAGAATTGAAAAACACTAATTTATGCGCACACAGTTCTAGAATTGCAGATTTTTCAAAGTCTCCGATAGTTGAATAGAAATATATGCAGGAACAGTGGATAAAACATGATTCCCGATTTGAGGACGTAAATAAGCAAAATGTGTAAAAAGAAAAATGTAAAATATAGTTATGGAAGATGTATTACGAATATCACGACTCACATAGCAGAAATATCCCGAATATATCCATGGATATCCTACACATGTACGATATCTTTATAAGATTGTCCTTGTGACATAATTTGGACAATTTTGCTGTTGGGATCAATCCTGCGGCTCAAATGCATATAATGCAACGCGCATCGAGAGATACATTCGCTTTAAAAAACATAAGGTTGATTGCATCTTTACCGTCTCTTATTTATATTTATAATTCATTAATCGATGTAATTAATTTAAGTTTAGAATACAGAAAGTAAATGTAGAATTAAACAATGTTTGCTAAGAAAATTCTTTGGTGATCTCTTCACTGATCTTATGCCCAATTTCCCATCTTGATATTATTCAAATAGATAGATATGTATTATAAATGACATAAGTGTTTATAAAATATTTTTGTTCGGAACGTTAAAGATATCGATATAGGATAATAATTATAAAAACGTAAAGGTTACATTTTATAAAAATACATTTTTTCGTAAATGAGAATAAGAACTAGAAAATTAAAAAAAATTCTTGTGTGAATATAAGAATAAACTAATCTCATTTCTTAATGTTGTTTATGTTGTTTAATAATATTTCGAACATAGTAAAAATATTTTAAAAGAATATTTTTTTCGCAATAATTACAAATTCATAAATTTATTGTATAATATTGACGATTAAGAGAGCGTCGCAGATAGATTTGTTCGAGACAAAAGATGTCTCTGACGTCAATGGGAATGTCATACATGTTATAAACGCGGATGATTCAACTGTAAAATATAGTAGCCCTATACAAATCGTTTATGTCACAACGTTTTGCGGTAACGATAAGTTTGTTGATAACGCGGAAGATTTCTTTCAGATATTTATTTCATCCTGACTGGTAAGTTCCCCAACATCAGTCATCAGACAGTTTGGGGACACATTGTCATCGAACGACGGATAAACTTGATGACGCGACTTACCAAACTCAAGCAAATTTCCTGTTTTAACTTTCTTTTATAGCATTAGAAAAATTATAAATTATATCTATAAAAAAGATTAAAAAAAAAAGGTATTCACCAAACTAATATTCTGTACTAAGAAATTAAGTAGAGTATAAGAAAAATGATAATAGAATTGTGTAATTTCCGCATCTCGGATTTGTCGAATTTTAATGTTAAGCGATATTCGTAGACGGTCAGGTCAGGATGCATTTGTGAGCGACAGTAACATACTGTCGTTGAAAAATACTACGCACCACGTTTGCTGGAGGGGCATGTTTGCCCACCATAAAAGTAACTGCGGCGGAAGGCTTCTTCTTTTTCGGCCTTTTTAGGTCGACGGTCGCGCCTTATTTGAGTAACAACAGCGGGGAGGAAGAGGTTCGTCACGTCGCGACGTGGTTCCAAATCCCGAAAAAAATCGCGTCCGATGCAACGGTGAAGATTCAGAAGAGAAGACCTACAAAGTCGCGCTTTTCTATCTGTTTCTATCGCGGAAACGCGACGATCGGTTTTTGTCAGTTCCCGAAATAGCGCTGACACTCGCGCTGCGATGTTAGATTTCTGTTAGAACGTTATCGGTGCGGTTGGAGGAAACAGCTCGGAAGATAGATTCTCTATGAGGTAAGTTCCCTTTGATGATGGAATTGGAATATTTCCGTTTTTTTATGGTTTTTCTCGGATTTCTGTTGATTCCGATAGCTTGCTTTGCGTGAAGTTTGAAAAAAAAATCATTATAGAGGTTGGTTTTATATTCTTACATCAAACCCTACAACAGAGCCATGATAATCATGTGACTGGTATGTTGTTTTTATCAACTTTAATAAGTCGGAATGAATAAAATAGTATAAATTAGATGACAAATTTTTGACAAAATTACTCGTAGTCAAACTTATGAAATTTCTAGACTGCACTAAAACCTTCTTGCTTTAATCAAACATCAAGCATATATCTATAATGTGTACCTATTTCACTTTATGTTTTATACTGATTCGGCCAGATCTTAAGCCCTAAACACAATGCGAGAGAATAGCGATAGCGATAAGTTTATCAACCTATCAAAAATGCGTATTCCGGTGTATTCGATTTCTGATAAGTTGAAACTTATATCGCTATCGTCGCTATTCCCTCCCATTATGTTTAGAGCTTTACTGATGCATTACGTGCGACAATGAAAAAAATTACCTGACGTACAGTCTACGTTACTATAGTTGCTTTCCATTTACACACAAGTGAAACTGAGGCTGAAGTGAGCTGAGTATAAAATACTCAGATTAATGACGTCACTATTTGTTTACTTTAGTAAAATTAATAAATAACAACACAGGTTTATAACCTCACTTTTAAAGTGAGTCTACGAGACTCAATAAAGCACACGATCTTGTGCAGTTTGTAGGTAAAAACTCAGTTGAATCTCACTTCTTAGGCTGTGTTCCAAAATTGACTGCCAGTACTGAAAACTTATAGTACTCGTGACATAAACTATAGATTTTCAGTACTGGCAGTCAATTTTGGAACACAGCCTTAGAATGCAAAAGGGACGCGCATTCAACTGACGTTATGACGTCACAAGTGAGAATTATCTGAGAATCGGAGTAAAGCAACTTATATCACTCTTAACGTCTCAACCCTTTCGCTTCCAGCAAACAATCTCGTAATTACCGTTATACATATTATTAACGAATATGCTCTTAATATAATTTACTTGATACAGTCTTTTGATATTTGCGAGAAAAAAAATGAGAAAAGAAAATAAAAAATTGTTAGCAAAGAAGCTTTTGGGTGATAAAGTCTTCTCTTTTTAATGTTCCTCATATTAATTATAAAAGAATTACTTAATCAAGCTATATTTTAATTGTTACGAGAAACATTATATAATTTTATATTACATATATTGTATAATATTGTATTAAACTCTACAAGACGATATTCAAAACTGTATGAACTAAGAACAACACAATTTAATAAAACATTATCGCGATTTTCGCTCGACTTTTAAAAAATGATCTCATGACCGAATTTTGTTAAGAGTTCTTATTGGAACCGAATAAAATAGCGTGAAAGGAATTTTTTTTAGTGAACGTCGCGAACAGAATGCACATTAAGCCGACACGACGAATGCATGCATGCATGAGGTGCAACAAGAGTCGCTCAACGACATCGCTGACAGCCTCTGTTTTGATGTTTTAGTGTTCGTGCTGCCGATCGAAGTGGTGTTAGTTCCATCAAGGAAGAAGATAAGCCTCGCATAAAGTAAAAAATATTTTAATTCTCCTCAGTCAAAAATAGAAAATTCATACATTTGCGCAAATTTAAATAAAAATACTAAATTAAACGACAATGACACTTACAAATTTGTCTTTTCGCTGTACTCAATTTTAAAATTGTACTAGAATGTCTTTATATTCTGGTCAATTAATTAAATATAGATATAGATAATAAGAAAAATATCTTTAAGAAGCAATTCTTTAATAATTTAAAGATTATAAAAATTAACAGATCAAAATTATATGATTTTCTTATTTAAATTAAAGATTTTAGATAAAACAATAATACATGTTTATAATTATGTGTGAAATTATCTCAATGTTTCTGATAGCAACTTTCTTTGCTTTTAATTATGTGTAAATTCGAAAATGATAGATAGTTATATTTTCTTATATGTATATTTTGATCGAAAAATCGTTTGACGTAATAGGCAAATTAAAAAAAAATATTTAGCCACATGGAAAGAACGATTTGAAATGTCTAAAAATTTAGCTATGTATACAGATCTGAAAATAATTTTGTTGAACTATCAATAACTACATGGGAATCTCAAGCATGATGAGCAATGCTGTAAAAGTGTTAACATTCTACCAACCTCTTTTGATAGTTTACGAGTCCTATTATACATTTTTCTTTTGATGGGATAACAAAATTTTCAGATGTACATTTATTTAGCTAAACTTTTTTAATATTTCAGTAGAATCGTTCTTTCCATGCATGTATCAAATTAAACGAGTGGTAGTAATAAAAATGATGATAAGTGCAAGGAGGTCAAGGAAGGTAAGCTTCGAGGTTTGTTCTCTTATATAGCTCAAGTACCGACACTTATGTCAAGCTTCGTGTTATGGAGAACGTACGTATAAAGATACTCTAAATATCGCACATGCGTATTCAAGACAACGGTACATAAAATACTTTAATCTCAAGTGAAACTGATAAGTCTAATACGCCTTTCATAAATTTTGTTCTATATATT